AACAATCATTTGGGCAGGCTTTGTTTAGGTCCGTGAAGTCGACGCACACTCGCCAAGTCCCATTTTTCTTCTTCACTACCACCATATTAGAGATCCATGTAGGGTAGGTCACTTCCCTAATTGCTCCGGCGTCAAGCAGCCTGCCAACCTCCTCAACAACGGTGGCAGTGTGCTCTGCGGCTGACCGCCGACTTTTCTGAATGATCGGCTTGCACTTAGGATCGACATTCAAATGGTGCTGTGAAACTGACGGATCTATACCCGACATCTCGTACGGAGTCCATGCAAAGATATCGAGGTTGCTGAGCAGGAAAGAGATTAGCTGCCGTTTTTCAGCCTGATGCAAGGAGGCGCCAACCATGAAGAACTTGTTAGGGCTTCCATCGATTTGAACTCCTTCTAAATCTTCCGTTGCCTTTTCATTTGGAGGCCGCCCAACATCGTCGAGGCTTTCTCGATCCGGCAACTCAATGGAATTCACCTGTAGTTCCTTTGGCGTTTTCTCAGTAAGGAGATAACATGCTTATGCCGATTTCTGGGAGCCACGGATTTGCTCAATACCGCGTTCTGTCGGGAAGCGGAGCAGCTGATGATAGGTGTTGGGGACGGCTCGCATAGTATGCAATCGGGATCGCCCCATGATGAGATTATACGGCGACGGCAGCTTGACGACCAAGAATTCCACATCCACTGTTCGGGTACCTGCTTGTGCAGGAAGTCTGATTTTTCCCAAGGGGTACTCTAGATTGGCATTGAAGCCAAATAGGGGTAAGGGGCCGGAGAGAGATCGGATTCGGAGAAGCCAAGTTTGGTGAATGTCATGTAGTACATAATCTCCGATGTGCTCCCCGGATCAATGAGTACGCGCTCAACGGTGAATCGGTTCACGCACAACTCAATTACCAAGGGATCAATGTGGGGCAATATTACTCTGGCCGAATCTGAATCATCGAAAGTGATAACCTCGGCTTCATGGGGCCGTTTAGCCGAAGTGAGTTGCTCTTGAGGGTTAGACTTTGACTGAATTGCGTGCACCACCGATGACATTGGCAAGCTGTATATCATGTGGATTGCGCGGAGTGAACGTGAATCCTATGCCAAGGCTATTGCTTGGGTTGGGTTGCCTTTTCGGACGTACTGTTGTAGCCGGCCGTCTTGTACCAATTTATCATCGTACAGGGTGAATGACGATGCTTTAAATTTCTTGGGTAGCACTGCCTTTGCGATCTGTCGCGAAAAAGGATCGTCTTGATCGTCATCCGAGCTGTTTCTTCTTTGCTTACGCCTTGTACTGGGATTCTCTTCAAAAGAACTGGTAATTTCATATCGTCCCTTCGTCTTGAGCTCCGAGGATAATGAGTCGGAGTTGCTATCAGTATCTTGTTGTCGAGCTCGAGATCGTCAACCAGCTACCCTCACAGGTCGTTCCAGGCCTTGATATACAGCTTGATTGGACTTCGCCACCTCCAAGGCCAAATCCTGGCGGAGATGTTCGTTCTCTGCAATCATGTTCTCCAATCTTTGTTCGTTTTGCTGTGCTTGTTCCAGGATCGCTTGCATTGTGCCGTGCTCTGAAGTCGAGGATGATGCGAAATTCAAGGCACGTCTTGCGGCGAAAGTCTCTGTTCCAAGCATGGTTGTTGGAGTGGTTGCATCTTGCGGTATAGGGTCGACAATGACTGTCGGAGGGTCTTCCGTCACGCTCGCCATGGATGTGCTTGAGTATTCCCACAGACGGCGCCAATTGTGGAGAAGTGGTTTGGAAATACTCTTCTGATCCTGGGGAACGCTCGTGATCCTCTTCCGGTCACCTGAAAAGAATAAAACACTCCGGCGGGGGTGCCGGAATTAGCACTCCGACGGACAAGTCAGTAACCACACTCAGGAATACTTATATTCTAAGTTAAGCACTACAATTCTCACATACCTTTTCTGGCTGATGTTCTTCTATTTATATCTTTTCTTCCATGGGCCTCGGGATTAGGTCCATTTCCAACTCATATTCGACACATCTTATAATAGACCGACCCTCTCTCAGCCCCTTGCCTAATCGGCTGTTTGGCCGAATAGGGTTGGATTTGAACATGCGAGCCAATTGCCGAGTGCTTCGAATCTCGACTCTCCGAGATTCGACTATCCGGAATCTCTACAACTCCCTCTTCTCAACCCCCACAGTCCTAACGAGATTAGGCATTCTTGGAATAAGTTTGCAAGGCTAAGCATTTTCAAAATAAATCCTGACAAGGTTAGGCATTTTGGAATAAGCCCTAGCACCCATGTATGGTTCTAGCTAGGCAATATAACACGGCTAATTTTATTAGAACAACAAAAAGCTCTCACTTTTTCACTGGGTTCAAAAAGAATGAAAGCTTGGGGGCAATTGAGAGGGAATAAAAATAACTACAGAAATTATATGGGTCCCGACACTGTCACGTGACGTAATTATAAATTATCATGTGTATGATAGTTATCAAATTCTGGAACATTCAAACTACTTTCTAAGTAAGTCACTGAATATTATAAATTGGCAACACCCTCATGGGTTGAAGTACGCAATTTCTCTCTATGAATTAGTCCATTAAATATTTTGATAATATTGGAGGACTGACTAGGGCGTCGGAGGGCCCCCGGTTACAACTGGGGGTGTTTTGTCTTGCAGATAGCGATAGCGTGGTGGTGCTGATTCATCTTCTTTGTTGGATTTCTTTATCAACAAGTACGTGATTTTTCTTTATCCGTACATGTGTTTTTTTGTATCTAATATTGTTCAAGTTTTGCATTCCTCTTTCTAGGTGTACTATTATACATACTAATATAAGTCATTATTAATGAAAGTTAGGGTTTTTCATTTTTCTACTTCCTTTTCTTTTCTTTTCATTTCATTTCATTTTTGTTTGTGTCATTAGATGATGAATGCACTTAGAATGTGCTCTGCCATTTTGTTAACATATAACAAAGTATATGTGCCTTAATAGTCTCATTTCATCTTGTTATCACCATCTTTATCTTGTCACTAATCAATATAAGAAACTTAAATAGGGTGGCACAAGATCCTTTTTTCTCTGTCTTAATCTTGCATCCCAACTATTAGATGATGCGTAAAGATTTATATATGCCTTTAGCCAAGGATTTTCAAAGTATGATCTAATGGCATTACACCATTAGATAATGCTTAGAGATTTACATGTAGTAAGATTAATCTTGTCTCACTAATAAATCAAGTGTGATCTCTACTTACTTTGATCATTCGAGATTTTTTATTAATCGATGACATTACATGATATGAGTGAGTTAGTTACTTTAACTTGTTCGAATATGTTATTTAGAGAGTGATTTTTTCAAGAGAATTACTAAAAAATGGAAAGTAGAATAAATAAATGCAAAATGATACGGCATTAGAGAGTGATTTTTTCAAGAGAATTACTAAAAAATAGAAAGTAGAATAAATAAATGCAAAATGATACGGGATTAGAGAGTGATTTTTTCAAGTGTAATCTATTTCTCCCAAAATTAGAATATTTGACCTGGACTTCAACCAAATCATATTACAAGAACTAATCCCAAGTCAACCTTGACTATCCGCCACTGTGATGAATCATGATCTCCTTTATTTACAAGGTTGATTAATTCCGGTGCGGTTTAGTTGACTGCTAGTGGTAGATAGTTAAGTTATGTTTAGATCATAAATGTAAGTAAAAGTTTAGAAAGAAAAACAAAAAAATAAAAGAAACATGAATAAAATATAAATTATTTTTTTCTTTTCATTTTATTTTTATCTGACTTTCAAGTCAATTTATAGTGCAGCTACTGTCATTAAAGACACCAGAATTTTGCTCTCTAAATTTTTATTTTAGCGTTTCATGTATTTTTATTTATTAAATTATATTTTGAGATTTATAATTTTTATAACTTATATCATTCAATGATTAAGAGAGTATTAAAACAAGAATACCAAGATACAAATACAAAGTCAACATATGGAAAACATAATGATGGATATGGATTTTTCAAAAGTAAATCTGCTAATAAATCTTAATCATATTCAAAAGTAAATCTGCTAACAAATCTGGCAAATTTGGTCAAATGAGTCTCACTCAAGCAACCATGAAACAAGCCCGGTTGGTCTGTTTAAATGCAGGGATGAGATAACAGAGGACTCATTAGTTCTTGTTCAAGTACAGAGACTTGCAAAACTGTCATCCAGCTTTGTGTTTCAGAGGGGGTCGCTCCGTGGGAAATTTGTGCTGTGATACAAGATATTCGGTCACTGGCCCATAGTGGGGGTTTAATATCCACCCCATTGCCCCCCATTGCCATTCCTACTGGCAATGGTTGTGAACCTTAAAAATAAAAAATTTAAATGGCCCCCCAGAGTTTGAAACAGAGCTGCACATTGGGTGGCTTCAGCTTGTCTGCATGATTATTTGCCTGTTCATTGGGTGTCCCAGCCTCCTATGGCTCTTGTTGGGTGCCTTTAGCTCAATTCTGTGTGGTTGATGCTTTTCTCGATCAAAAAAAATAAAAAGTACAGAGACTTGCGAAGAGCAATAAAGAATTTTTCTGAACATTTAGGGAAGGCAGCTTTGAGTCTGTTTTCAAAGGAACATTGATGCCCAATTCAGCTGCCACAGCTGTGAAGCAAATCAAATGCTGTGGGCAAAGCGAGAAGCAATTCGGAACAGAACTGAGCACTATGGCAACAACCCATCACACAAATCTTGTTCGCCTTCGAGGATTTTGCCTCGAAGGAATGAAAAGATTTCTCTTGGAATGAAAAGGTTTCTCTGATTACACAACCGGATAGGGACTGCAAGAGGTTTGGCCTACCTCCATGAGAAATGCAGAGACTAGATTGTATGCATCACATGATCCTAAAGTTTTGGATTTTGGCCTGGCAAAACGATATGAGAACGATGGGTTTTTCGAACTTTTCATTGTTTTTGTTTCCATAATAAAATACAAAAATAAAAATACAACCACACAGAGCATGGACATTAACATGAACACACCACAATAATAATTTCAATCATGCAACCCTAACATAACCACCTCATTTCAATCTCATTAGAGCATCTAAGTAGTACTATTCCTTTATAAATGTCAATTTCCCGTAGAAGCAAAGGCTTTGAAAAAAACATCAGTCTCAGTCGACATTCAAAATTTGGAATTACACCAACCCTGCAAAAGTATATCTCATACTGCCCTGATCTACCATCAAACTTCAGTTCTGCTTGAGTCCACACCTAGACAGGTTTGTAAATAACAGTAATAAATTATGTCACTAGCGCATACCTAGGACGGTCCGATGATCGTCAAAATGAGAATTTGGTCCATAAGCTCCTTAGTGGAATCTAGTCTTGTATCTTCAGATAAGATAGTTGTATCCAATTCCTAGAAGCATCAAAACAGACAAACCAACAGGAGCAGCCCATAGCCAGTAGTTGGTTGATTTTTTCCGCTTGAGTATGGCTTTTGGAAGCGAATCCGGGCCTTTTTGTCGAGTTCCGTACCTGATTGCATTCTCTTTCCGGTCCTTGTTCTTCGATGAAACTGAAGCTTCAATGTTTTCATCAGCCTTTTCTTGATCGGGAACCTCAGCATCCACTTTAGTAGGTTGTTCTTCTAGTTCCGTAGCAGGTGCAGAAGCTGCAGCCTTCTTCTTCAGTTTCTTCTCACGTTCCTGTAGTGGGAAAAGGAAAAAGAAAAAAAACCATTAATTTAATAATTCAACAAAATTGCTAGTCTACAAAATCTGGAAAATGAAGGAATCAAAAGATAATTTCCTTGAGCTTCTTTTCAGCCTCTTTCTGAGCTTTTATAGCTGCTTTTGCAGCCGCTTTCTCTGCCAACTTCTTCTTCCTCTCCAATGCCTGCTTTGCTTTCTCAATCTCCTCTCCTCTTTTCATCTCCTTCAACTTCGCTTCATCAACTTCCTTCGGCTTTGATTGCAAATCATTTTGCAGTTTTTCAAACCCAGAGATCATCACTTTTCCTTCTGAGTCAACAGGCTCCAAAGTAGTTCCTGAATCTGTTAATTTATTCTTTGCTTCTCTCCGGGGTTTGCTTTTTGCTTCTTTCTGGCCTTTCTCAACAAGGGAGGTATTGTATTGTGGAAAGGACATAGAATCTTCTTTCGATCGTATGGTTTTAGTGACTGTCACGGTTTCCATGGAAGTTGGTGCCTCCAGTGACACCAATGGCTTCTCATCGGGACTCCTCATGCGTCCATCCCTGCTCAATTGTCGAGCGTCCAGTGATGGCAAAATTCTTTTTTCATAATCATCCCTAAAAGCCTTACTACTGCTCCAGAGGGACATAAATTTTTCAACCTAACCAATACAAGATAGAGGTCAAGTAAATAGGTTAGCCAAGTCAATAAAATGTCTCATAACTTCTTGACAAAGGATAGTTAGGGGTCCAACAAACCTCAATATTGACAATTTCTTTAACGGCTTCAATATCCTTCTTTGCAGCAAGTACTTTGGCCTTGGTCACGATATCGCGATTTTGATAATAGCAATCATTCTGAGAATAATGAAAAAATTTGAGTAAACATATGATTGTATATAATTTAATTTGGCTTACAACCATTGAACTAACACAAACTTCAAAAAAATTAAGAAAATGCTTCCCCATTTTTAAATTGTCAAGAATCAAAACAGAATTAACAAACTGGAAGTGGATTAATGTTGCCACTGGGAAGATTCTTATGATCAAACTAAAAATAAATCAACGAAATGTAAAGCTCTTCAATTGTATCAACCACATTTATAGACATACAACTACATATATGCAAATGCCTGTACAGTGGCTATAAGAAAGGAAAAAAAGTAGGTGAAAAGAAAAGGAGAATAAAGAAGGGAGATAATTTATCAAACTGAGGCTTTAACCTCAACATCAACACCTACATTTGACAGATTGAAATAGCTTGTTTATTGTAGCGACATTTACCCAAACAAACACAGATTGCCTAACACAAAAGCGCCCAAGGATCCTTGGCTATTTCAAAAAGATACAAGCAACGCTGCAGAGCAATATTAACTCTTACTGCATTGAAGAAACAATTTAACTGTCCTCACATGAAGTAATTCAACTACCCCAACACATATAAGGAGAAGTTAGATCCTTCAAACATCAAAAACCAAAAATTAGCACACCGATATTACATGAGACAATGGCACAAATTTAACAACATAAATGAAAAAAATGAGCAATTCCAAGTCTCTAAAGGAAAGGCCAGGAATTGTAATTGAAATGGAAAAGAAACCAAAGTACCCCCTCATTACGCTGTCGCTTCAATTGCTTAAGATGTTCATTAGCTTTGTCCCGCTTTTCTTGTGCAGTCGCCAGCTCAGGCTCAAGGGCTTTAATTTCTTTTTCTATGGCCTCCTTTTCATCATCAAGTGACTTAAGCTTGGCCTTCAGTGTCTGTTGTTCCTTTCTAACTCCATCCAGATCGACTCCCATAAGCTACAATGTCATGAAAATTCACATAAAATAACAACACATACTATATGACAAAAATAATAATGAAGGCACTATGATTAATAGCAGATATGCAATGAGGGTTTAAGATGAGAGGAAAATAGAGGATTGTCTTACTTTAACCTGGTCCTGAATGGCTTCTTTTGCACCCAACGAATCCTGAATCTTTGCCCTCATAACATCATTAGCAATTACTTTTTCCCTTGTCCCTTCAAGCTGTTTAATTTCCTTAAGGATTTGCTTCTCCTCAGAAAGTGGAATACTTTCATGTTGAATACGGTAGTGCAAGCTTTTAATCTGTATTTAAAATTACACACAAAGGGATAGAAAGAAAAAAAAAAAAAAAAAAAAAAATTATAACTAAAGCTTTAAATATGCAATGGTAATTTTCTAATTGAAAAATGGAAAGAAATCCAAGGAGTCCCTGCACCACAAAACTTGCGAATGAATTCAAAGGAATCAAAAAGGTTAAAATCAGAAGCTTACAAGATTATTAAGCTCTTCCTCAGATGAACATACACCAACACCCTTCTCTTGGTTGACACTGTTTGGGTTACGCAACTTTCCTAGTGCCTGCTGCAGAGGTCGCATCTCTTTTCTTTTCTCTCCCACCACCATCCAGAACTGCTTTTTCTCATTGTTCAGAGGAATCATTTGCTTAATCAACGCAGAAATATCAGACTGCAGACAACAGAAAATAAATGCAGCATATTGAAATTAGTGTTGGATCCCAAGTCTTCAATTGGTTCATCCACCAATAAATAGCTTTTTTTATACAATCAACAGTCCTTCATTCAACTCACTCACTCATAATTTTGATAAATTGTAGTCATAAATCGAATAACAGAATAAAAAATATAACAAAATCAGACTTAACCTCACCCTCATAGTGGCAGTGGCCATGGAGTTCTAATGTTTGCACAGAAAAAGGAAATAGGGATTCAATTGGGTAAGGTGCATATCATGGTGGGAATGGCGGCAAAAAGGGTATCAAGATCACTTTTTACATCTGCTGTTAGTGAGTTAGCATTGCACATTTAGTCCCCAAACCACATGAGGGTGAAAACTTCACAAGCGGGTGAAGTGCTTAAAGGGAAAACCTCGTGACCTTTATGGATTTTCTCCTAACTAGTATTTGTGAACTGGTGACAATATAAATATTCATTATTATTATTTAATGTTCAACAGATCTACAACCCAAAAGTTAAATGATTAGACTGCCAAGAAACTCCTTGTCTCACCTCATTATGTATTACTATTATCTCTTTATTCTCTGCTTATCTGTTAGTCATTCCAATCATAATTTTAGTCACGAAAGAGCATTTGCCTATAATGTTCCATGTTCTTTAATAACTCCATTGCATTATCTAGACTATCTAAACTATTATATAAAGTGTACAGGTCACACTTTTGTCACAATTTTTTGATTTTTCAAAAATGCCCACAATTGTTGATGAGTTTGAAAACTGCCATGTGAAAAAGTCAAATTGATTCAAAAATTTAAAACTCCACAAACATTTTTGTTTATCTTCTATATTCATAAACTGCAGATCTTTGCATGCACATCGCGTGTGCACTCGCCGCTATGCCAAATAAATAGTAGTTAATTGTTATAACATTCCAATTAATTGATAGTAAGTTCACGAGCATTTTAATCGTACACAACTGGTTACTTTTTATTTCTTAAAGGCAAGTCATCTAAGTGCTTACATGCTAACTTGATGTCTATAAACGGTAATCTTCACGGTAATCCTCTTTGATGTCTACAATGGATAACTTAACAAAAGTGACGATTACAGTTTATTACTTTCTGGTTATTTGTGGAGGCTAGATACATGCATATACATAATTATAGGAAACGAAAAGATGTTTTTCTGTTACAATTCAAGTATTATTGATTGATTGATTGTTACAAGTTTGATTAATTAGTACAAATGTGAGAGGCTCCTTATATAGGAGATATAGGTGTAGTAGGTGAAGTGGAGGTGGTAGTGGTGTAGGTGAAGTGGAGGTGGTAGTGGTGTAGTGGGTTAGGTTTAGTGGAGTAGGTGAGGTGGTAGTGGTGTAGTGGGTTACAAGTTTGATTAATTACAATTCCTATACAATCTATATATAGAAGAAAATGTGGTAGTAGGTGTAGTGGAGGTGATAGTGGGTTAGGTGAAGTGGAGTGTGTGGTGAAGTGGAGGTAGGTGAAGTGGAGTGTGTAGTGGAGTAGGTGAAGGTAAAGATGGGAAATTCTAACATTTTCCTTGAAAAACAAAATAAAATTTCTTACAGATAACAAATAATAATAAACCATTTTGTCTGTCACCAGCTTGATTAAGAGCTTCATTACAGGACAACACTCGTACTAAAATAAAGATTAAAACAACTTTCAGCTTACCCTTTTTGTTCTTAATTTTGTGATGATCTGAAAATATGCTTCTTTCTTCTTTTGATAATCTTTATCAGCTTGTTCCAATTTGGCTTTCAGTTTTGGGTCCTCATATGGTCGATACTTGACAGAAAAAAAATAATGGATCTGCGGAGGTGCAGGCCATTCATCAACCGCATCTGTTGGGAAGTTGGCCACAGGAACATTGTTTCCTTCTCTTTTAACTGGCTCATCCATACCGTGTGAACCAAATTTTATGGGCTCACTAAAGCCACTTCCCTGATGAATTGTCCCATTTTCCTTCTCATGCAACAAAGAGCTGCTTTCTTCAGTTCCAGTCTCCACAGAACCTTGTGCCAACTCAGATTTCATAATCTCCACACCCATATTTTTAACACGAAGGCAACCAAAAAAAAACACCCCTAAAAGATCCTGACTCCTAATACAAAAGGGCAAAAAAAAACATATATCAGGCAAACAAAAGAAAAGAACCAAAAACAAAAAATTCCATGGACTTTATACGATACTGAAAAATTCCGCCAGCAATTAAACAACTGTAAGTAATTAGAACCCTTGCTCGGACATAAGTTCTATTGTTAAATTGATCAAGATGGACTTATAGCAATGGGATGCAGTAGTTAAAAAAAAAAAAATGAATTTATTTCATTTAACTGTGCATACAGACCTTGACAGAGTAGAATGGTGGTGGGGGGAATCATGTAGCCGACCCCACTCAAGTGAACACAAGGCTTAATTTGGTTTGGTCTATAGCCATGATCTTCAAACCAAAGCACAGAATATGACAAGCCAAGAAGTTTTGGATGTTTCAATCTTCATCATATAATCATGAATTTTTATTTAGAAAAACTGAATAGATCGATCTACAAACATTAATGATGCGTTTCGATCTAATATTTGTTGAGAAAAGTAAAAGGAAAATAAAAGTAAAATTACTATTACTTGTTCATATTCAAGGGTAACCTTTTGAAAATTACCACAATAAATAAATAAATAACCTTTTGAAAATTACCACAATAAATAAATAAATAACCTTTTGAAAATTGCCTACACATTTTCTTCTTACTTTCTTAGTCCAACAAATAAAAGCAAGTCTCTCACATTATCTTTTCCCATTCACTCCACAAATCCAACAACAAAACATAAGGAGAAAAAAATGGATAAAACTCCAGCTTGAAACATTAAAGATTCAAGATATCAAAGGTAATAAAAAACACAAGCCAATTGATATGATCAAACTACAATACAACAACAAACTATTCACATAACTTCAAGAACACAAAAACAAATAGACACCCATATACAGAGATATATGAATGCATATATATACATTGCATGTATCTAGACGAGAAAACATATCTAAAACTTATACATTGCTATACGAATCACCCAATAACACCACAATCAGAACAAACCCATCGAAAAGATCAAAATTTTCCACCAAACAAGCCCAAAACTTCAAACACCCAACCGAAAACAATCAAAATCTACCTCCATAAAGGATCAAGATCGGGCACATATCGCAAAACAGTAAAGGGCAAAAAAAACAGAGATGAAGAAACAGAGAGTAACAGTGAAGAGAGAAAAATGGGTAAGAATTGTGGGTAAGAGAGAGAAACAGAAATGGTGAAGACTCACCACCAAGATTTTTCAATTGGAGAGAGACCCTTTTGACGAGACCGTTCGAGAAGATAAAGCAACGACGACAACTGCACAAAAATGAACTCCCAAAAACATATATATATATATATATATATATATTTACACAGACAGAGAGAGATGTAACAGTTTGCAGATTTTGATGTGCGTAAATATAGAGATAAAGATAAGAATGAGATAATTTTATTTAGAGGAGAGAGAGATTGTCGCAGAGCAGTAAATGAGAGAGTACCGGTTTTGTTGAGATTCCCTTGGGACAAAATTGAAAATAATGCTTTTATATTAAAAAGGGATTTTGACAAATAAAAAAAAATTATATTCACTAAAAAAATTATTATTTTAATTATTAATATTTATAAAAGAGTTATGCTAGAAATCTTAAATAAATTATTAAGCCTCTGTTTGGGAAGGAAAAGTCCAGGCTTTTTTGGCTAAAATAGCCATAAAAAACAAAATAGGCTATTTTAGCCACAAAAAACAAAACATCAAATCCAACCCATAATCATTACAATCCTCTCTCACAAAAAAAGTTAAAAAAGTCAAAAAAGCCCTTCCCAAACCAGGCTAAAATAGCCCAGGCTAAAATAGCCAAAAAGTCAAAAAGCCAACCCACTTCCCAAACGGAGGCTAAATATTCTACCAAACTTTTCAAATGGAGTGGGACATATACAAATGACATGTGTGTAGATCTCACACTCATATGAGAGATTTAGTAAAATATTTGGTAATTCATTTAGCCTCTGTTTGGCAAGTTGGTTCTTGGGCTTTTTTGGCTATTTTAGCCACAAAAGACAAAATAGGCTATTTTAGCCATAACAAACAAAACATCACATCCAACCCATAATCATTACATTCTTCTCTCACAAAAAAACTCAAAAAAGCCAAAAAGCCAAAAAGCCCTTCCCAAACCAAGCTTTTAAGCCCAGGCTAAAATAGCCAAAAAAGCCAAAAAGCCAAAAAGCCAACCCACTTCCCAAACGGAGGCTTAAGGTCTATAACATTTTTCTTTATTTATAAAATTTCTCATTTGTATTTATTTTTTCAAAATTGCACTGATTTGATAAAGTCCTACATTTGATGAAGGGAAAATTGGTCTAGGGTCTCTCTCCTACTTTTCATAATGGAAGAGATTCACAAAATTATTTTTTGATGTCTAAGTCCCTAAACATATCACAAAGAAATTTGACCTTACCAAATCAAAACTCATCTCTCTCTCTCTCTCTCTAAACTTCTCCATTCTCATACCTGTCCAGATTAACTCTTGTTCCTCACCCCTGACTAGGGGTGAGCATGGTTCGGATTGGACCGGATTGGGGTAAAACCAGGACCAATCCGTTATTTACGGTTCCTGAAAAATTGGAACCAATCCAATCCGTTTAAATTATGGAACCAATCCGAACCAATCCATTGAAATACGGATTGGATCGATTTAGGACCACGGATTCACATAATTAAATAACAAAAAAATATATATAACACTTTAATTTCATAAAAATATAAATATAACGCTATATTAGTTCCACAATAGCAACATCTATTTCTATAATAGCGACATACTGTGCTAGAATTTAAACAACCATAAGAAAACTGATTTCACCATAAGTATTTAGACCATTACAAATTAAAACTAAAAACTAACAAACAAAAGTAATAAAAGAAGATATTATACGGTTTTAGGTTTGAGTTTAGATTTTATATAGAATAAGAGAAGATACTATGGGGGAGGATGTATAATAAAAATATATACTATTTGTATACGGTCCGGATCGGTTCCAATCCGGAACCAATCCGTGTACTACGAATTTTTAATTTTTCAATCCGGAACCGAACCACGGATTCAAAAAACCAATCCAAACCTATCGGATTAGACTGGACTGGATCGGATTACGGATTTCACGGATTCCTTGCTCAGCCCTACCCCTGACTTCATTCTCCAGTCGATTGAGCTCCTCCTTCACTGGATCCGACCTTCAACGGCGTCGCCGAGCCGTCTAAGGAGCGGTGATCCAGAGGCGTTGATATTGGACACTGGTGGCGTTGTTGTTACTGCAGATCTGCAGACTACACTGCATTGTGCCCCAACGTATATAGATCATAAAGGCACATCTTCACCCATAGTTTTGGCAGTTAAGATTTACAGATAGATGGAGATTTGTCAAGCTATGAAGTGTTCAATCATTCTTGTAAACTAATGTCGGGTATTCTGAACTCATGTTGTTCTACACATACGCTACAATTTCCTCCTGCAGATCATGGAGAAATACTTAATTCGCTGAGGTTGGGTAATATGTTGGCTTGCCAGAATAGACAAATGCCTAACAGTTTCCAGAAATAAAACTTTGAGTTATGGAATTTGATCTGGTATTGGAGACGCCATATTGATTGACAATAGTTTACATACAGCCGTCCAGCATCAGCATCATCATACAAGCATTGAGCCTTTGTATTTTCCCACCCTGCCATAAAACATCAATATCAGTTCCAGAGAAATTCAAAATTTCTCTGGAGATAAATTCAGAATTTCTCTGGATTTCTCTACTACTCTGTTTTCTCTCTCTCTCTCTCTCTCTCTCTCTCTAATTTTATAAACACACTTGCGTGCTTGTTTTTATGGAATTTGATCTGGTATTGTCATAATCAATTCAGTGGGTATGGCAGTGAATGAGAGTGAAAGTGGAGGCAATGGTTCATGGTTGATAAATTCCGAAGTCAGAAAAATTTGGTGAAAACGCATTCCGAAGTCAGAGAAATTTGGTAGGCAATCATGATCATCATGATCAAATTTCATAACTCAAAGTTTCTAATAGTATGATCATCATGATCTTTCATCTCATCATAAGACTTCACAACTGGCAGTACATTAGCAATTGAAACTGAATCATCTCGTTTTTTCCCGAACTGTCAGTAACAACAATGGTGGAGGATCAAACTCACGGCAGAGAAATTTGAAATTTTTCTGGAGTCCATGAAAGGCTAAAGAAATTTCTCTGGCAGTGTCCATGAAAGGCTAAGGAGGCCAGAGAAATTCAAAATTTCTCTGGACTAATTTTCTCTGACTTGAATTTTCTCTGGATCAATTTTCTCTAGATTGATGTTGAGGGACCTTAGACATTATGAAAATATTTAATGTCCTTTATACTATAAAATCATAATATCAGAGACCTTAAAAAAAATACTCCTTTAATGAATTGTATTTTATTCTAAAAAGGAATATGTTATAAAATTTTATTTATTTTCTCTATTAGATTGTGCAAGTACGTTAAGATTACTCAAATCTCATTTATTTTTGCTACTCGCATTTGAGATCTTAATTTCTTACCCACTAACCTCTTAAGATTTGTACTTACATCTAAACAACAATTATATCCAACACGTTAATATTATAAAATAAAAATTATAAATAATTCTAATATGTTATATATTTATATTTGACATATTTTTTGAATATTTAAATATTATATATACATATCAACAATATAAAAAATAATTAAATAGTCTTAGAATACCTATAGGGTTTGTTTGGAAAGTAGTTTGGCTTTTTGACTTTTTAACTATTTTAGTCTGGAACTAAAAAGCCTTGTTTGGGAATGATTTTTTTGATTTTTTTGACTTTTTATGAGATATAATGTAATAATTATGAGCTGGATATAATGCTTTGTCTTATTAAGCTAAAAATCCTATTTTATCTTTTTATAGCTAAAATAGCCTCAAACCCAACCCAACCCAACCCCTCTTTCCAAATGATGCCATAGTGTGGTCTACCTGGTCCAGTTAATGAGAAATCGTAATCCACAATAAATGAGTCATTCTTTATTATTCACTTATCTAACAAATATAAATATATTGAAAAAGAAAATAGTAGAAATCTTAAATTTTTTTTATCAAATATTAAAAAAATTAATAGAATTTTTTGTATTCTTAAGGTTCGTTTGAGATGTGGATTGACTTTTTAGTTTTTTAATTTTTTGGCTATTTCCTGCGCTAAAAGTCTCGTTTGGAATAGACATTTTGAATTTTTTTTACTTTTGTAAGAAAGCAAATGAAATGATTATGAGTTAAATGTGACATTTTATCTTATTTAATTAAAATAATCTATTTTATTCTATATAACTATTTTAATCACAACTTTTATCCCAAACGGAGCCTTAACATGCTCTATTAAAAAACTTTCTCTTACATTGTTTAATTTGAAATATGAACTTATGAAGTAAATAACATTGGTTGTGAGGTGAAGTTGATTAGGATGCAAAAAATGAGAAACGAACAAGTGGAAGTGACATCAACAAGGGTTGGTTTAGTTGGTAAGGCTTGTTCCTTTCGCTCATTTGGCTTAGGTTCGAGTCCTGCTGCCGGCCATCCTTTGTTGATGGGCGATATTGCGTAACGCTTTCCCTGACCCTGGAATGGGGTAGCCTCCCCTCCTCCTAAACTTTTTTTTTTTGAATCAAAAAAAAAAACAAGTGGAAGTGACGGATTATTTGTAGTGACGTGTTTGTATGTTTGGAACACGTGTTCTGTATGAACTCTGTTTGTGTTGTTTTGGATCTGGCACGTCTCCTCGACGATGATCACGAAGAACTACCACTTGTCCCGTAATTACCATATCTACCCTCCTCCCCATAAGCACGACATGCCAAACTTTGGCTCCGTTTGTTTTGTTTTAAAATTCTCATTTAAATGTGAAATTGTTTTTTGAGTTTAAAAAAAATTTAATTGTTTATAAGTTTTGAAAAAAAAATTTAATTTTAAAAATAGTTTTAAGTTATATTTTGAAAATTTTGAAATTTATTCTTAATTTTATTTTTTTTAGGATAAATATTTTTTACTATAAATATTTATTTATTTATTTTTAATGTACGCTGTATTTTCTACATATGTGTGTTATATTTAAAAGGAAAATGATTTGGAGCCCTAAAAATACCCCCTAATCCCCCTAATTTCCATATCAAGTAAAAAAAAAAAGGAAAAAGTTGCCCAAATTGGAAATTAGGGGGATTAGGGGGGTATTTTTAGGGGATGTAGCAATACCATATTTAAAAATTTAAAATGAGCTGTATTTTTTTTTATTTTAAATATATAAACAACAATGATAAAGACCACTAATTTTGGAGCTCTAAAAGACCACTAATGACATGACAC